ATTTCACACTTCTCTTTCTACCTCTCCCTCCACCTCCTCCTCTCAGAGTCCATGGCTTTGCCTCATACTTGAAAGGAGGAAATAAAGGGAACCAACCGGCACCTGTTTTCCCACCACCAGACCTGCTGTTGGGACAGTTCTCCTCAGGCCACTCAAGGCTTCTGCTCCTGACTCTCCTGCCTGGGTGTTTCCATGGCCAACAGCCTCAGAAGAAGACAGTACGACTCCCTCGGGGCCAAAGGGCAGATATGCCTGCAGCCCACTATGAAAGATTTGGGTTCTGCCCGTTTGGGGTCACTCAGCTGAGACTCCTGCCCTGGCCCGTGGGACAGGGATCGAGGAGACCCTTGGCTGCCTGCTGTGCTGCAAGTGACGAGACCTCCATGTCTTCTGCCGGTGAGGCTGTGGCAGCTTGCTTGTCAGGTGTGGCCAGTAAGCTCCCAGTTCTGGCTGCCCATCACCTCCCTGCCTCTGGCCTGTGCTATCAAACCCCAGCCCCTTGAGCCCCCCCACCCCCTTCTCTCCTGGGTTTGCCCTCCTCCCCAGCCACAAGCATCACATCTCGCCCATCTTCCCAACCTGCATATAGACAGGCTGTACTTCCACAACTTCCTCCAATATCGCTCTTTTTTTAAAGTATTTTAAATGTAAATTTATTTATTTATTTATTTGTTTGTTTATTTATTTTTGGCTGCATTGTGTCTTCGTTGCTGCACATGGGCTTTCTCTAGTTGTGGTGAGCAGGGGCTACTCTTCGTTGCAGTGCGCGGGCTTCTCATTGCGGTGGCTTCTCCTTTTGCAGAGCATGGGCTCTAGGCGCGTGGGCTTCAGTAGTTGTAGCACACAGGCTCAGTAGTTGTGGCTCTCAGCCTCTAGAGCGCAGGCTCAGTAGCTGTGGTGCATAGGCTTAGTTGCTCCACAGCATGTGGGATCTTCCCAGATCAGGGCTCGAACCTGTGTCCCCTGCGTTGGCAGGTGGATTCTTGACCGCTGCATCACCAGGGAAGTCCCCAGTTGCTCTTTTAACTGCTGCTTTTCAGAGCAAGAAATCTTTTTTTTTTTTTGGTGGTACGCGGGCCTCTCACTGTTGTGGCCTCTCCCGTTGTGGAGCACAGGCTCTGGACACGCAGGCTCAGCGGCCATGGCTCACGGGCCCAGCCACTCCACGGCATGTAGCACCCTCCCGGACCGGGGCACGAACCCGCGTCCCCTGCATCGGCAGGCGGACTCTCAACCACTGCACCACCAGGGAAGCCCGAAGACATCTCGACTAAGCTGTCCACCTGTTCTTCTCCAGCCCCTTTAACTGGGTAGGCTGGATGACAAGTCCACCACTTCACTGAGACCGCCAGAAGGCCATAGTGACGCAGAGCACTTTTCTGCCCTGAACTTCCCTGACCCCTTTGCAGCATTCCACCCAGTTGACCACTCCCTCCCTCTAAAATCTTTTCATTATAAAAGATACCAAACTATATCAAGCACATATAACATACCTGTATCGTTTAAAGAATTGTTAAAAAATAAAACAAAGGGGCTTCCCTGGTGGCGCAGTGCTTGGGAGTCCGCCTGCTGATGCAGGGGATGCGGGTTCGTGCCCTGGTCCGGGAGGATCCCGCGTGCTGCGGAGTGGCTGGGCCCGTGAGCCATGGCTGCTGAGCCTGTGGGTCCAGAGCCTGTGCTCTGTGGCCGGAGAGGCCACAGCAGTGAGAGGCCTGCGTACCGCAAAAAAAAAAAAATAATAAAATAAAATAAAATAAATGAAACAAAGAATAAAACAGAAACCTGTATACTCAGCTTGAGAAACAGCATCACTACTGCCTGTGTTTGTCAATAAAGTTTTATTGGTGCACAGCCACACCGATCACTTACACATTGTCTGCGGCTGCTTTTGAGATGCAGGCAGAGATGAGTAGTTGCAAGAGAGACCATTGGGCCACAAAGCCGAAAATACTCACTATTCGGCCCTTCACAGAAAAGTTTGCCGACATCTACTCTGGAATTTTTTTTTAGTGAGGGACGGGTGGGGCACAGTTGCTCAGTTTTTTTGCTAAAGCAAAGCAGAGCTGGAGGAAAGTGCATTTATCAGGAAATAAGATGGATGTGTGGCCTGAAGAATGCATCATCGAGTCAGCATTTCTCCCCTACTCTTCCTGTAAATCATCCTCCAAAAGAGAAAATTTTCATGAAAACTAGAGATAAAATTCCAGATGGGAAAAATGGTGGTTCTGCCAAAGGTGGTGGAAATGAGCAGGGGTGTGTGGAAGGACAGGCACGGTGGGAGGCCTCAGGAGGAGCCAGGAGGTGGGAGCACAACCCCCTGGATGCAGTGTGCCTGGGTGGGAGGGGAAAGAAGCTGGGCTTTGTGAAAACGGGCAGAGATAAGTCAAGCCTGGACTTAGTTAAAAACCACCAACAAAACTGCTAGACTGGACAATGGCCCTGGCCTCATTTCCCTTATAAGTTTCTTACAAATACCTCGTCAAGGAAAAATCACCTCTTTTAAAGATGAGGGGGAACAAAGGAACAAAAGTGCTACAAGAAAAAAGAAGGAAGGAAACCAGCAAAACGACAATGAACATTCACCAAAAACTTGCGATAGAGCCGATGGAAAATACAGCAAAACGTTCCTGAATTTAAAATGTACTGAAACAGTAGCTTCTCAGATTAATGATCTCAAGCAGGAGGTGTGAGGAGAACAGACCAGTCTGCATCTGAGGAGACTATTCGGAGGCATCACAGGGGCGATGCTGCTGCCAGAGGGGACAGAATTCGGACCACTGGGAGGATGCGGCTCCTTCCGGGGGCAGAACCCAGGTTTAACAAATCCTGAGAAAAGCCACAACAGAGTTTTGGGGCTGGGCCTAAAGACTGTATGGGAAAAAAATAAATAAACAAATGAGAATTACCAGGAAAACTCTGAGAAAGAAGCATAATTGGAGATCCTAAGTCAGTAGACATTACAAGGGACCAGGAAGCAGTAACAATTCGAACAGCACCGCACGTGAACAGACCAAGACCACTAAACCAAGGCAGAGGTCCCCAACTCCCGGGCCACTGACTGGTACCGATCCACGGCCCGTTGGGAACCAGGCTGCACAGCAGGAGGTGAGCGGCAGGCGAGCCAGCCAAGCTTCATCTGCCGCTCCCCCTCGCTCACATTACCACCTGAGCCATCTGCACCCCTGCGCGCCCCGTCTGTGGAAAGGCTGGGGACTGCCGAACCAAGGGACAGAACAAGAGCTCCAGACCCAGACTCAAGTACACACAGAACGTCTAACGTGATAGTGAAAGCGGGATTTCAAACAAGTGGGGAAATGTGAGTTATTCAATAACAGGTATGGGGAGGGGACTTCCCTGGTGGTCCAGCGGTTGAGAATACGTCACAGGATACAGGGGACACTGGTTCCATCCCTGGTTGGGGAACTAAGATCCCACATGTTGCGGGGCAACTAAGCCCAGGAGCTGCAACTACTGAGCCCACGTGCTCTGGAGCCCGTGTGCCACAACTAGAGAGAAGCCCATGCACCTCAGCAAAGAGCCCGTGCGCCGCAACGAAAGATTCTGCATGCCACAACTAAGACCTGACGCAGCCAATAAATAAATAAATATTTAAAAAAAAACTGGTGTGCGGACATTTGGATTGCCACCTGGGGTTAAAAAAGTTTGGTTCCTATTTCATAACCTACACGGTGATAAATTCCAAATGGATCCTGGATTTAATTATGAAAAAAGGAAACCACAACTGTATTAGAAGATATCATGGCAGAATAATCTTCAATCTTGGAGTGGAAAAAACCCAAGTATGGCACAAAACCCAGAAAGGATTAAAAACGAGAACATTAATTAAATTACATAAAAATAAAAAATACGTGCATGACAAAAACCACCATAGGCAAAGTCAAAAAACAAATGAAAAACTGTGGGAAAATATTTGCAATTCATATCTCAGAAAAGGTCTGATTTCCATTATATATAATAAGCTCATACAAATCAATAAGAAAAATATTATAAACCCAGTATACAAATGGGCAGAGAACTGAAGAAAAGGAAAAGGAAATGACTCAAACATGTGAAAAGATGCACAACCTCCTAACAAGAGAAATATGAATTAAAATGACACCTAACAGACTGGTAAAGATGATAGTTCGATGACACTGCTGGAGAGGGTCTGGGAAGAGACGCCCTCTCAGCCTTTGCTGGGTGGGTGTGAACTGGTACCATCTGATGGAGCCCAACTAACATCTTCCCAAACTGGACGTGCACATACCTTTGGACAAAACAATACCCCCTCTGGGAATTTACATTTACGCTTTTATGCATGCACTACACCATGTACAATGTAATTCACTGTAACGTTATTGGTGACGGCAAAAGATTGGAAATAACCTAAAATGCCCATTGGCACACTGGGCACAGCAGGAAGCATTCATGCATTGAGGCCGAGAGCCGAGAATGAGGGCGCTTGCTGTGAGCTGATCCGGAAAGGGGTGCAAGTTCATTCCCCCAACCCCGGTCTCCAAACAGCCTCCCCTCCGCCCACCCTGCTTACTACATCTTGGTCTCACGCAGTTCCCCCAAAGGTGGCCCTTCAAATGAACTTTCCTTAGAACCTCACAGTGAGCGAGTTTCCCGGGGGCAGAGGACACGCACTTCGTGGGCTGCCCTGGCCTTGTGAGGCTGAGCAGAACACAGAACACCCGCCTGCCCGAGTCACAGACTGACCACAGTGCCCCCACCCTCGTGACCTGTGGGCTCTACTCTGGGTAGACATGGTGACATGGTCAGCTGGACGTGGGGCTGGGAGACACCCTCTGTCTCTGGGGGACGGTCAGGCACCAAATCAGAGGACAGGACTGCAGAATTTACAGATTCCGTAACCACAGCAGGAAGAACGCCATGCTCACTCTGTGTGTCAGCCTGCGAGTGGCCACCACAGCTGTCCTCATGGCCAGCACCCAGACCAATGGGGCAACGGCCTTGGGATGTACGTCTTCACCTACCTGGAGGCGAGTCATCCTGGGAAGTGAGGCCAGAAGGGCTGGATCCCAGGTCCAGTAACTTCCATGTGTCCTGGAGGGAACTGCTAGCAAGTGATGAGGACCTTTGGGGGTGGTGGCCATTTTCCTCCTGGAATTCTTGAGCCAGGCGTGGCTTTGGGGACTGGTTTTCTTTCTGAGGAGCTGATCTGCAAGTCACTGTGGAGATTCTGTGTTGCCTCTGTGAAAGAGAGAAAAGAGAATTATCCTTGAAAGCCACCCTCTCTCCCTGCCCTCCTGGGCTGATAAGACAGTGGACGTGGCCTGAGGAGGGGCTCTGGACATTTAAACATGAAACACGGGGGATTCCCTGGCGAACCAGTGGTTAGGACTCTGTGCTTTCACTGCCGAGGGCCTGGGTTTCAATCGGGTACAATCCCTGGTCGGGGAACTAAGATTCCACACGCTGCGTGGTGCAGCCAAAAAAAAAAAAAAAAAAAATAAAAACAAACCCTGAGGGGGGGGAGGGGGGGGGGATGGGGGC